TAAGGAAAACCTGGAATGCTCATAAATGTCAGGCAGAAAAAAAAAAAAAAAAAAAAAAAACTATATCAAAAAGAAAATGTAAGCAGAGTTTAGTCCACCGGACACGCAATCTTGCTCTTATATTGTAATTTTCAAAACGCGGCGATTTTTTACAAACCAGAAGTCAAACCAAACTGAGTTTTTGAAAATAGACGTGAAGAAAGACCTTTGCACGAAGTCAAAAGACTCAAAATAGAGACGCTACTCTTCTTAATGCAAGGCAAGACCCCCCTCTCCGGGGTTTTATGGCTACACTGCTCAAGGAGGACACCAGACAAGTCACGTTATAAATGAGAAATCAGAAAGTAAGGATGAGGATCAGGATTAGGAGTCGAGCAAAGGCACACAGCTGCTAAGTCAGTACGAGGTAAGAAGCAGCACGCATGGGATACAGGAGGGCCATACCAGCAGTTCTAGAAGGCAAGGAAAATCCGACAGGACAGTCAGAGAACTGAGAGGAACAGCCTGGAGTGCTAGCGGTGTCTGATGATATCAGCACCACTAGCATTACCCGGGTGTTAATAAAAAAAAAAAAAAAGAAAAAAAAAAAAAAAAAAAAAGAAAAGAACTGAGAGGAACAGGATGGCAAGGATCCAGATAGACAAGTTACAAGCTCCAAGTCATAGGAAGGACCGACGAGCAACCAAGGAGACAAACAACGTTTTTGGTCCAAGCGAACTTGGGCAGGGGTGTAGGGTAGGTACATCCTTCCTTTCAGTAGTAATCAATGCGCCGTCCTTCCTTCAGGCCATCCCACCATAAAGGGGAGGCGTCTGTGTGAGTGCTATTTATAACTCTTTCTGACTTGAGGGTGGAAAAGGAACCGGACTGATGATCCCCAGAATGGAAATGGAGCCAGAACCCTACGGTTTTCTGTTTTAAAAAAAAAAAAAAAAAAAAAAATCCAGTTTCCTGGCAAGCCATTCATTCTGTCAGTGCACTCAACGGAAGTATTTGGGCGAAGTGTACCGTCTTCAACCGAATAGGATGCACAGTCATTATCGTAGACGCACAGTCATTATCATAGTATTTGAGTGACTGGAATTTGGACCAAATACAGATGTAATGACTGGCCGTTATCAATACCTTTTCTTGGCCTTTTGGACAAGACCAATTGCAGTGTATCTGTGCTGGTCAGTTTAATATCTGATCCGTGGTCAATTGGGCCATCAAAAAAAAAAAAAAAAAAAAAAAAAAAGATCCTCGGCCTTTTGGCTAAGATCAAGTGTAGTATCTGTTCTGGCCACTTTAATCTCTAATCCCCAGTCCATTTGGCCATTTAAAAAAAAAAAAAAAAAAAAAGACTGGCCGACGTGGCCGTTATATTCCTGCCGCTGCCCAGCTCTACAGTCTCGATCAAAATCGATCAAACATAAAGCCTACGCTCTTCACGCCAGCTACAGTTGAAGGTTATAAGTTATAACCTGCAACTGGAATTTGGGCCAGATACAGATTGAAGTCTACGCTCTTCATGTCAGCTACAGTTGAAGGTTATCACCTTCGAATGGAATTTGGGCCAGATACAGATTGAAGCCTACGCTCTTCACGTCAGCTGCAGACTGGAATCCATAAAAATCCATCAAATCCATCAAGCATGAAGCCTGTGCTCTTCACGTCCGCTACAGACTGGAATTTGAGCCAGATACAGATATATAACCTTCAACACGCCCCACACATAGATGGGGTCTTCCCCAGCACCACTGGCGGTGTCTGCTCGTATCAGCACCGCTAGTGGACACTGGGGTTGTGTTGTTTTAAGGTTGGGGGGGGGGGGGGGGGGGRGAGGGGGAAACCCCTTAAAAGGTTAAAACATCCGTAAGTTGATGAGCGTATCCAAAGTACGCATGAACTTAAGCCAATACAGAGAGAGGCTGTTACGGACTTCGCCAGGGCTCGATCCCTGGTCTATCTTTTGCTGTTTCGGCTGCATCCCGTTTTCGGCCTGGCACCCTTTTTCCAAACCCCTCCTTTGGTACCGTAGGATTTTGGACAACTGGCGCCATGCTGCAATTCGGGCGCCACTTTCAAATACTGCATTTTTCAGTTCTGCCCTCGGGGCCTTTGCAGAAATTCCCCTGGTGTCGTACATGTCACCGGTACTTATACCGGCTCCCCATACGGTACGGGGACCAGTCTCGTACCAGTTCTCTGCTGCTGTACTTGTACTCAGTGTGACTTGCCGTTTTGGCATTGGGAATCCAAGACTTCGACTTTGTGCCTTGCCACTGTGTCTGCGTCCAACCCTCAGTCCGAGTCCGTCGTGTCGAGTGAGTGAGTGTGTGTGTGTGCTCTCACTCTCTCCCTCTCTCTCTCCTCTCCCTCGGCTCACCCTCAGCCTCACTCCCGTTACACTGGTATCGGAGCGATTCGCTCCCCCTTCGTCGCCGTGACCTTCAGTGGCGTGCCACGTCATCACCGCCGTCATCAAGACCTCCGTCGCCGCTGTGCCACGATATCGTCGTCGTCGAGACCGTCGCCGCCGTGCCACGTCATCAGCGCCGTGCTCCTCGTCGCCGCCTTGATCCTTGATTGCCGCCATCACCAGGTAAGCAACAAATTTTATTTATTTATTTCTTCTTCCTATTCTTTCTTTCTTCTTCTTCTTCTTCTTCTTCTTCTTCTTCTTCTTCTTCTTCTTCTTCTTCTTCTTCTTCTTCTCCTCTTCCGCTGTCGCGATCCCCCCCCGACTACGATTCCC